CCCAACAGTGCCCATGGCAATTCACTCAACCAGTTCTGTTTTCCGTCAAGTCTGCAGCGAATGGAGTTCTTAAGGGAACGATGCATTCGTTCGATCTTCCCATTAGATTGAGGGTGGTATGTTGACGAATGTCTCTTCTCAATTTTCAGCACTCTTGTCACTTGTTCCCAAAGATCACTGGTGAACTGAGGTCCTTGGTCGGAGATGATCACTGCTGGAACACCAAAACACGCAATCCATCTAACAAGGCATTTTGCACAAGAGGTAGCATTTATAGAATTAGATGACAATGGGTGTGCGTCCATGAAACCGGTAGCGTTATCAATTATAGTGAGTAACATGCTCTTGCCTTCAATGGGAGGATGAATGGGGCCGACAAGATCTACGTGAATCGTGGCAAATTTTCCAGGGACGACGTTAAGTGGGACCAGTGGAGTTCGTGTATTTCTACCGACCTTATTCCTCTGGCATCCCAAGCAGGACTTGCACCATGACTTGACATCTCTTTTAATTGTTGGCCAATAAAACCTATTAGCCAAAGCCTTATAAGTTGCTTTGAATCCGGAATGAGATGGCGAGTGGATCACATGAAAAACATTTTCTTGCAGGTTGGACGGAACAAGCAGCTTTTGTGAAGAGTTGGACACATCAAACCACAAATCAACACCAGAATCATCAGATGAAGGAAGAAGCCTTGGCTCAAAAGGTGTCGCTGGATCCAAGTGTCGCTGGATCCAATTAAGGAGACCTACATCCGCTTCTTGAGCCGAACGCACTACCGACGCAGACGGATGCGAGAACACTTCAGAGACTGACGCAACAGTTTCCGAACTTGGAAATTCTGACACAAACTGGTCCTCGAATGAACAGGAGTCAACCAGTTCCTCTTGGGGATTGCTTCGAGAAAGCGCATCGGCAATGATGTTGGATGAGCCAGGAAGGTGACTGACATCATCAGTGAATTGACTCACAAATGCTAAGTGCCTTCTCTGAAATGGCGTTGAGTCATCAGAGACTTTTTTAAGGG